AACACAAAAAAATCATGTAAAAAGGTGAAAGCGTTTTGTTTAACACATGTTTTGAGGTAATTTGTTGCTTTGGCGATATAGGGCCAACATAAGTTTTTAAAGGGCTGGTCTTAAGTACGGCTTTAATAAATTTTGTGTTAAGCGGGAAAATGCACTTGTTACAATAGTATTTAAGACAGCATGGTAAATTAACAATTATAGAAAAGAATTATTTTCTAAACAACTGTGGGAATTTTTGTGTTATAAAACATTTATTAAGGTTATTGGGTCTTTGCTTTGTTTATATTCAATTTATGTTGGTTTTATTGATATATCAGCCAACAAAATGGCAATTTGTGCCGAAAACCCCGAAAAAAAGATCAAACGAAAGTCATTATAATAATTTTTAAATAAATTTTTATTAACTTTCTTTGTTATATGTACAAAAATAAAAACAAACTCCGGAAAAAAATTATTATTTAATCAAGCAAAAACTCTTTGTTAAACTTTCTTTTGTTAAAGATTAATATTGAAAAATTGATCATAGTATTAAAAAATATTAGCAAAAATGTTTATGTTTAAGTTATAAAAAAATTACATAATTTTGATGTTTTTATTATAAACAAATAATTAAGTAGAAAAAAAGCTTATTTTTTATAAAAGTGTTATAAACTATAAACTTGCACCTTAAATAAACACACATCTAAATAATACTTTCGTTTTCTTTAAAAAGACCCACATTTCTTTTAAAGGCTAGTTAATCAAAAAAAGAAATGGTCAAAAAATTTTTTTTAAAATTTGCCAAAAATAAAATAAACAGATTCATCTTAAAAAAAGAAAAAAACAAAAACAACAACCAAGCTATAAAAATGTTTATGAAGTTGTTTAACAATTTGGGAAATGAAAATTTATTTATAATGTAAATTAAATAAAATAGATCTAAATAAGTAAGCAGCTTAAAGACGTCACCTTACAAGCTGAAATAGATCCCAATCCATAAAATTAAAAACCCAGCAAACCAATTTGTAAACATTATCCGATAAAATATGATTTTAACTTATAAATACAAATTTTCTTATTATTCTTCTAGAAAAGGTTTTACTAAAGCTTTCAACAAAAAGTTGGAAAATTGTTTTCAAATCCAGACAATAAATTTCATAATATTTAAAAAAAGTTTTTTTTCAAGCTTTTCTAAAGCTTTAAGGAAAGCTTTAAAACTTTAAGGAAAGCTTTAAAACATTAAGGAAAGCTTTAAAACTTTAATATTATTTAAACAACTTAAAGCTTTACTTTAAACCAAACATTTAAACAAGTTTTTAAAATATTTAATAGTAAAAGCTTTATCACTAAAACCCAAATAAAGCTTTTTCACAAAATTTAAAGCTTTAAGGAAATGTTTGAAGCTTTAATTAAATCTAAACTATGACAAGACTTTTATATTTCTTTAATCATAATATTTATATATAAAAGCTCTTTTAATTAACAGCAACATTAAAAAAAAAGCTTTAATATTATTCAAACGATTTAAAGCTTTTGTTCTAATCCAAAGACTTCAAAATAAAAGCTTTAGTAATATACCTCTAACAAAGCTTTCCCACAAAATTTCCTAGAACTTGAGCTTTTTCCACATTCCCTCAAGCAAAGCATTTTCTTAAATGTTTTTACAGCTTTAATGAATGTTTGAAACTTTTTTCCAAAAATTTTCAAAGTTTGGTCTTAAGCCTTTAAGTTTAAAACGTTCTTGTTATCCCTCTAGAAAAGCTTTGAGGAATGTTTAGAAATGTTTAAAAAGTTTGTTATTAAAGCTTAAAGCATATAATTTTACTCAAGGCAAGCTTTCATAATAAAAAAATAAAAGCTTTCTTATTATTCCACAAGTAAAGCTATTTGCAAGCTTTATTTTTGGTGGGTGTGTCTTTAGAAAGCTCAAAACTTTCCTGTTATCCCTCTAGCAAAGCTTTGAGGAAAGTTTCGAAATGTTTAAAAAGTTTGTTGCTTAGCTTAAAGCATATAATTTTACTCAAGGCAAGCTTTCATAATAAATAGAAATAAAAGCTTTCTTATTATTCCACAAGTAGAGCTTTTCGTTTAGCTTTTCGTTAACGACTTCTAGTTTTCTTGTTATCCCTCTAGTAGAGCTTCTCGTTTAGCTTTTCGTTAACGACTTCTAGTTTTCTTGTTATCCCTCTAGCAAAGCTTTGATTTAAGCTATGAAACTTTCTATTTCTTCAAATAATCTATGTCGTTATATTTAGCCATTTTTAAGCTTTAATTAAAAGCTTAGAACTATAGACAAATGCCAACATTATAAAAGGTTTTCACATTATTAAAAAATTAAAGCTTTCTTAGCTTTATTTTATTAAGCTTTTCTAAAAGTTTGATATTTTATATTTAATTAATATTATTATTTTATTATCACATTGTTCGCTGGGTATTTAGAAGCGATTTATAAAGACCAGCAGCAGCCTAAATGGATTTATACTATTGTTATAGTTTTTTTTGTTGTGGTAGTTGTACTTTTTCATAATTACAGCGGTATTAATGTCAGGGCGGAATATTTTTTTTTTTCTGAATAAGCTTTTGTTAACACTTGAAGTAGTTAATAAGAAGATTAAAAACACAATCACAAAGATTTAATTACCAAGACCAAAGAGTATTAAAAGAAATGTTTGAAGTTTTAAAAAAAACCCTAAGCTTTAAAACTATTTTGAATAGCTTGGGAGGTATGACAATAACTTTCAACACTTAAAAAGAAATTAATTATAAAGCTATTTCATAAAGAAAATAAAGGATTATCTGGCTACTGACAACCGAAAAAAGTTATTCATAATATAGAAAAAGTTTGATGCAACAAAACACAAAAGTAGTTTGATAAGAATAAGATAATACGGGGAAGGGATATGCAACCTAAATCATGAAAAAAAGTAGTTTGAAGGGAACATATTTGAGTTTGAAGAGCATTAAAATACGATCATAATAGTCAAGGTTTGAAGCTTTGTTTGATGACAACTAGATTAAAGTATTCTTTCTTTCAGTATTCTTCATATAATCTGGAAGAAGATCAGACCTTAATTTGGACAACTGTTTGTGGAGATAATTTGCGAAAAATAACCGAAAATGTTCTTCATAATATACAAGAGGTTTGATGCAACAAAACACAAAAGTAGTTTGATAAGAATAAGATAATACGTGGAAGGGAAAACTGGTTTGATGCAACATTAAGTAGTTTGATGACAACATAACTATTCTTTTAATTAAAAGAAATCTTGTTTGAAGAGAAAATAGTTTGATAAGAACACGATAAAGCTTTTTCTGTTTTAAAACTGCTCTAGCTCCTGTTAAATATAGTTTGATTGAGGTTTGATTCAACATTAAGTAGTTTGATGGGAACATGCTGACAACTAGATGAAAGTATTCTTTGGGTTTTGGGTGTGGTTTAAAGCTTTTCTAGTTTTTGTTTGAAACTGGTTTGATTCAGCATTAAGTAGTTTGATGACAACATTATGAAACGGTTTTTTTAATTAAAATAAATTTTGTTTGAAGAGAAAATAGTTTGATAAGAACACGATAAAGCTTTTTTTTTTTAAACTGCTCTAGCTCCTGTTAAATGTAGTTTGATTGAGGTTTGATTCAACATTAAGTAGTTTGATGGGAATATGATGACAACTAGATGAAAGTATTCTTTGCCTTTTTGGGGCTGGTTTAAAGCTTTTCTAATTTTAGTTTAAAACTGGTTTGATTCAACATTAAGTAGTTTGATGACAACATAAAGTGTTTGAAGCTACTTTTAATCAAAAGAAATCTTGTTTGAAGAGAAAATAGTTTGATAACAAAACGAAAAAGCTTTTTCTCGTTTAAAACTTCTATAGCTTCTGTTAAATGTGGTTGAATCAACATTAATTAAGTAGTTTGGGGACAATATGATGAAACTGGTGTTTGAAGCATTTTTTTATTAAAAGAAATCTTGTTTGAAGAGAAAATAATTGGATAACAACATCATAAAGCTTTTTATGGTTAAACATTTCTCTTGATTCTGTTAAAATCTGACTAAATTAAGGATTGATGCAACATTTAGTAGTTCAATGACAACATGGTAAAACTGCTTTTTGTTTGAAGCATTTTTTTATTAAAAGAAATCTTGTTTGAAGATACAGAGTTAAACCTTTTTATACGTAAAAGCTTTGAAGAACAGGAGAAACATGTTTTCAGCTTTTCTATAGATATGATCAAGCTTTGAGAGAAATGTCTAAAGTGTAACACAAATACTGTTAAGAATTTGAAGCATTACTTGGCTGTAGTCAAACTACATATGGTTTGATGCAACAAATTTAGTTTGATCTAACTGTGTGAAGAGCATCGAAATACAATTTGAATCGAGAATCTGATCCATTAAATAAGGTCTGAAGTGAATTGATTCTAGACTAAACTTTGTGGAACTAAATAAAACCTTAATATGTTTTTAAGAGAATATATCTTCCTGATATTTAGCTTCCCTTTCTGAACTATCAAATTTGTTATTTGTTACAAATAAAAAAACGATAAAAAGGTTTAAATTCCCATTTAACAACAAGTGAAATTTATTTTTACTACATCAGCACTTCTCCAACAAGAAATTGTCAAAGAAAAGGTAATACAAAAGCAAAACAACCAATAACACTTATAAAAATCAACTTTTGATGATTTTAACGATCACTTTTATGATCAATTTACGACGGCAATGGTTGAAAATGGCACAGACAGACATTCAAACGGACAAGGCAGACAACAAAAATTTTGCCAATTTAAGCAAAAATATTATTAAATAAATAAAATTGTTTAAAATTTTAAACAAGAAAGTGCAATTTAAGCAGAAAATGTAATGAAGTAACATAAATATTTTATTAATTATTTTAAAGGTAATTTTGTTGTTATTGTTGGGAATTTCAACAAGTTTGTTGTTGATTTAAAAGAAAAATGAAAAGTAAATAAATAAAAAAGTATTTAAATATAATGGTTATGATAAAATAGCGTGTTAAACTTACAAATTGAACTACTTTTCTGGACAATGAAGCCACAATTCATTACAAAAACCCCAACTCCTACAAAAAAAGAAAGAAAAAAAAAACATTAAAAAAATGTATTTAAGAAATAATAAATTAAAGATCATTATGTAAAAAAGAAATTGGAAATAAAATTTATAAAAATATCTCAAGAGTCATAAGGTGTTTTCAAAATTTTTGCTTTAATTTTATATTACTTTTTAATAAACAATTTGTTTCTTACAATTATTTAACTCTAAACTTGTTTGGCCACCTTTAAAGTTGGCAAATGTCAATCTGTTAAAGAAAAAAATTTGCAAAAAACAAACCAAAAGAAAATGTCAAATGTAGATTAAACTAAAAGTAAGTTATCAAAATTTTTAATTTCAAACTTAAAACCAAAAAAATGTAACTGACAACATTTTCAAAATAAAGTTAAGGCTTTACTACCCCTTTTCCTCTCACAAAAGCATCTTGTAATAGCTGTTTATTTTAAACATGCAAATGGAAAATCATGTTAATTTTTTGGCCCGCTATTGAAGTTGTCTTTACCAAAAGTTGCTATAATTATTATATCATGACTCTATTTGTGTAAGTAACCATGTAATCTGTCTGGCAAAAAAGAAAAACTATTAGTTTAGTTAAGACAAACAAACCAAAAAAAAAAAAAATCATAAAATTTTATAACATTTAGTTGATATTTGCATAAAATGTTACATATTTTACAGTTAGTTTAAGAAAATAAAAGTATTTTCAAAATATTTTAAACATTTTCATTAGATAATTATTACAAAATTATGTTAAACACTAGTAGTTGGGAAAACTTAAAAACAAAACGTTTTCCCTTTAATTAAGTAACTGGCAATTTGCTTAACTAAGCATGATTTTGATAAAAATCTTTGTTTAAGTTAGAAAAGAAATATATCGAACGAAAGGGTTTATGAACCTCTATTAACTAGACAATAGACTAAACTATAGACCAGACTAAATACTCAACTAGAGATTAGACTATAGTCCAGACCAGACTATAATCCAACTATAGACTAGACTATAGTCCATACTATGACCAAAACTAAAGACTCGACTATAAACTCTACGATAGTCTATATCAGACTATAGACTTAACTATTAAAAAGAATATAGTCGAGACTAATGGCTACACTAAAAACTCGACTATAGTCCAGAATATAGAATGGACTATAGTCCCTACTATAGTCTAGGCTATAGCCTAGACTATAGACTATAGACTAGACTATACTATAGGCTAGATTATAGACTAGACTATAGACTATAGACTAGACTATAGACTACAGACTAGACTAGACTAGACTAGACTAGACAAGACTAGACTAGACTAGACTAGATTAGAATAGACTAGACTATAGACTAGACTATAGACTATACCATAGACTAGACTATAGACTAAACTATAGACTAGACTATAGACTAGACTATAGACTAGACTATAGACTAGACTATAGACTAGACTATAGACTAGACTATAGACTAGACTATAGACTAGACTATAGACTAGACTATAGACTAGACTATAGACTAGACTATAGACTAGACTATAGACTAGACTATAGACTAGACTATAGACTAGACTAGACTAGACTATAGACTAGACTATAGACTAGACTATAGACTAGACTATAGACTAGACTATAGACTAGACTATAGACTAGACTATAGACTAGACTATAGACTAGACTATAGACTAGACTATAGACTAGACTATAGACTAGACTATAGACTAGACTATAGACTAGACTATAGACTAGACTATAGACTAGACTATAGACTAGACTATAGACTAGACTATAGACTAGACTATAGACTAGACTATAGACTAGACTATAGACTAGACTATAGACTAGACTATAGACTAGACTATAGACTAGACTATAGACTAGACTATAGACTAGACTATAGACTAGACTATAGACTAGACTATAGACTAGACTATAGACTAGACTATAGACTAGACTATAGACTAGACTATAGACTAGACTATAGACTAGACTATAGACTAGACTATAGACTAGACTATAGACTAGACTATAGACTAGACTATAGACTAGACTATAGACTAGACTATAGACTAGACTATAGACTAGACTATAGACTAGACTATAGACTAGACTATAGACTAGACTATAGACTAGACTAGACTAGACTATAGACTAGACTATAGACTAGACTATAGACTAGACTATAGACTAGACTACTAGACTAGACTATAGACTAGACTAGAGACTAGACTAGACTAGACTAGACTATAGACTAGACTATAGACTAGACTATAGACTAGACTATAGACTAGACTATAGACTAGACTATAGACTAGACTATAGACTAGACTAGACTAGACTATAGACTAGACTATAGACTAGACTATAGACTAGACTATAGACTAGACCATAGATTAGTCTATAATCCAGACTATAGACTAGACTCAAAACTATGTATATAGTTAGACACTATAGCCTAAAATATAGAAAGATGTTGAAAATTATGGATCTTTTTAGGAAATTTTCATTTAGAAACTAATAGAAGCAAATTTAGGCAAAATGGGTTTTATAACCCCTTGGGGTTTAGGCACCTTATTCCGTTATGAAAGGTTATTTTCTAGTAAAAGTTAAAACATATGAATCTAAGCCTTTTAAAGCTATGTAAAATATAAAGATATTGTGAACGTTTTCTTTAAAACTTAAAAAACCCCTCGGGGGTCCTTTGGCCACTATGTCATAAAGTTTAAATAAAAGTGTGGCATTTTCTTAGCTGTAGAGAATAATGTTAATTTTTTTAATAAATCAAAATTTCCCTTAACACCTATTGCGCAAAGAAAACACAAACCTAAATTTATTTATAACTCCAACTGATATCATCATCATATTAATACCTATGTCTAACTAGCATCATTAATTCTTTTGATTAATAACAGACTCCAAAAACAAATCACAAACAAAAGTTAACATGAAAAGAAACCCAAACATATTGCATGATTTCTACTCATACTTTTATTTTCAATTGCATTTTTGACTTCCTAGAAACAAAAATGCTAAAATATCACATCCATCACAATTTATTTATTTTTTTTCGTTTTCTTTGTTCACGAATAGCACACACAAAACATACAAGAAAATCGTAACAAAAGCAACATAAACCTGGTGACTTATTTTACATTTTATGTTTTTCTCTGACTGTCTGTCTGTTCGTCCGTTTGTCTGTGATTTTTGAAAATTTGCTCTTTTTGTTTGATTTGTTACTTTAACAAATTGTTAATATAATTTTTTTTTGTTTTGTGATTTTTCCATTGTTGTTGTTAAATTGAAACGAATATCTATGTGTATAGAAGGAAAAGGTAAAAAACAATAACATTTGGCGGCAAAATCTTCGCACTCAAAATGCCAATTGTTAACTATTGTGTGGTAATTTGGTTGAAGTTTTTTTTGAGGAGACAGAAAAGCATTTTGTAGAGTTTTCTAGTAGACTAGAGACTTGGTATAATAATATTGAAAACCATACATATTGAGACGACAAATATTATTGGCAGAAAAACAGAGCTGGAGGTAGGAAAAGCTAAAATTGGACAAACCAATATTAAGGACCCCAGAAGGTTTAAGACTTTTTAGTAATATTTCCTTCTAGAAATTTTGATTCCAAATCAAATGAAATTGTTTTGGGTTCGAAGGACCACTTGCTTTGTTTCCCAAGAAATTTCCCAAATGGTCCTTCGAACTTAGTAAAATTTGAAATCAGGTTCGAATGACCAATTTATACTAGTCTAATGACTAAAAGACACTTTTTTATTAAACATTGTTTATTCAAAGGAAATGGCTAAAAAAGAACCTTAGAAACTGTTGAGTTTTATTATAGAATTTAATGAAGCTTTTAAAAGCAATGATTGTAAATTTGTCATCCGGTTCGAAGGACCATATTTTTCTAAACAAATTTCTCTTAAAGTTAAATAATTTTCAATTCAAGAATATTTTCTTTTTTAGATTTCTCTTACTGATCTTTCCCATCTCTGCTTGTCTTAAAGTTTGCTAGGAAATGTTAAATATTTGTTGTTGTTGTTGTTTTTTTAAGTTGTTATTGTTTAAATTTTAAACACTGGATTACTACTGTACGACTAGTAGTTTGTTAAAGAAAACAAAAACAACAATGTAAATTGATTGGATTTTTCGTTATTTTTAAACAAATTGCTAATAAAGTTAAAATTTATAAACCAAATGATATTTTTGGTTTTGTTGGGATTTTTTTTTCGCTTTAAATAAGTGACTGAAAGTTTAAAAATTATTGGAAAATTTTATAAAATTTGATCAGCAATGAAACGAATGCCTTTTTAAAACTGTCCTCTCTGAATAAAAGAATTGAAGAAGTACGATGCTACGATTTCCTACTAGAAATGGTCCTTCGAAACCAACAAGTAGTTAAATCGGTTTCGAAGGACCATTTGTTACTGACACGAAATCAATTTGTTTCGTTAAGAAATCATTAAAAGCTGCATGAAACTAATTTCTGCCGAAAATGGTCCTTCGAATCATAAGAGATTTGTTAGAGGTCAGACAGATTTCCTGCCAGAAATGGTCCTTCCAAAGCAACATGTAAATTAATCGGATTCGAAGGACCATTTGTTTCTGACACGAAATCAATTTGTTTTCATAAGAAATCATTAAAAGCTGCATAAAACTAATTTTGAATCAAAGAAGATTCGTTGGAGGACTGACAGATTTCCTGCTAGAAATGGTCCTTCGAATGCAACAAGCAGTTAAATCGCATACGAAGGACCATTTGTTTCTGACACCAAATCAATTTATTTTCATAAGAAATCATTTAAAGCTGCATAAAATTAATTTCTGCAGAAAATGATCCTTCGAATCAAAGAAGATTTGTTGGAGAATTGACCGATTTCCTGCTAGAAATGGTCCTATGAATCAAAGAAGATTTGTTGGAGGACTGAAAAATTTCCTGCTAAAAATGGTCCTTCGAATGCAACAAGTTGTTTAAATGGATTCGAAGAACCATTTGTTTCTGCATAAAACTAATTTCTG